GGGACTACCCAATTAGAAGAAGAAGAAGCAGAAGAAGAAAACGAGAAGAAAAAGAAAATGAGAAGAAAAAGAAAATGAGAAGGAGACGATAGCGAACACAAGATGACAAATGTCAGTCAGTCTGTCAACGCCAGGAGACCTCCGCCCTCTATAGAGCAGCACAAAGCTCCTGCATCTGGAGAGGCCTGTCCAGCTGTGAGTTTGTTTTTTCAGGGATTCGAGGCAGTTCAGGGAAGAAACCTTCGAACAGCTCCTCGTCCTCTTTATACTCACAGCAACGAGAGGAAATCAACAGCCCTCTTCTGGATCTGCCTGGTTCTGTTCATTCAATTTCATTTGCCCTGTCACTTCACTTTTTAGTTAAGAGTGAAAAGTTAAAACTCTATTAAAATGCAAGTATCCACTTTTAGGTAAAACGTTTCTGATACAAAAAAAAAAAGTGGTCAGTATAGCCAGCTGGCATAATTTTACACATTCGCAAAGTACACAACTGGTGTTTAAAACAATAAAAGGATTGAGTCAGGCTATCATCTGGTTAGACCATATACACCAGTGACCATTAACTGGCGGCCCGCAGGCCAAATCTGGCACGCCAGACATTCTCATCCGGCAGGCGCTGTGGCGCTGGAGGAGTGGTTAGTGTGTTCGCCCCCCACTCGTTTTTTTTTAACCAAAGTCTCGTGAGTAATGTGCAGTACCGGAGTCCAACAGAGAGGCAGCAGCTGCGGGACAGTAGCCTGCGTACTGCGTAGCCTTCCCTGCCCTGAAGAAGAAGTTATCCTTCGTTAGCGTGAAGAGTCTGCTTAATGCGCTCCGCTACGAGGCTCCAGCGACTTGACAGTACATGAGCGTGCTCCACTAGCACCCCCCAGGTCAACAACTTCAAAATGTAGGGCTATCGCTGGCCCCCGAAAGTGTCTAGGAATAATTTTGGCCCTTGGACAAATGTAGTTGGTCATCCCTGATATACACTGTCTAGAGTCTGCATGCATCCTCTTCCGTACATCCACCAGGCCATGAGAGTAGAATAGTTTCCTTTTTTAAGCTTCTTTGGCACCATTAACATTTAGGCTACCCACTTTAAAAAATGTCATACAGATTGAGATAAGACAAATGAAAGCAAAAGTTTAGGTGAGTAACACATGTGTGCCTTTACCATCATTATTGATTAGTTGTTTTTTAACTTTCAGTACAAGTTTTTTTCAGTGTATAGACTTCTTGATCAGTGAGGATTTACCCTTCTTTGTCCCTCATGTGCAATTAGGAAATAATTTGAGAAGAAGGAGAAAAATGAGTGGTTGTAGTATACCGCATCATACTTAAGTTGTTGTTTCTTGTGTGTGTGTGTGTGTGTGTGTGTGTGTGTGTGTGTGTGTGTGTGTGTGTGTGTGTGTGTGTGTGTGTGTCCTGCAGAGCTTATCACCGTGAGCCCATTCATTAGAATCCATCATCTGTCTGAGACGTGTTGGCTTTGCAGGGAGGGGGGATAATGATAAGGATGAGGCAGAAGAAATGAATGACTAAATCGATCACGTATGCACATTTGCACAGTACACATTCAATTAAGCAGGCAGGCTCCACTGTAACACGTGTGGGAAAACGCACACTTACATGATGGATTACCCACAGGAAGGCATGTGTGAAGACCGCTGAACGTTATCACACTGACACATTAGCCGCCTTTAGCTCAGCATTGGTGATACGCAGCTATGTGACCGTAATGTTAACTTTGAACTTCTGGTGATATCATTTAGGCTTCAAAAACACTTCATCACACACACCACTCTATGCTTCCACTTGTAAGTATATCATTGTGTGAAAGACGATGTCAGTGAAACAATGAGACCGACAAGTAAAAACTGCAGGGCCTAATTTGAGTGGAAATCTGATTCCATGCTAAGTTTCTTCAAAGATTCAGTAATAACTTCTGCAAAAAACGTTTTAATCATAATAAAACACATTTCACTAAATACTGCCAATCACTTGTTCGTAATAAACCAGCTTCACCAATTAATTTTCAGAGAACCTGGAGGAGGAACTGATGATTAGGCTGCAGGAAATTCAATAAAACTGAGCTAAATACTTTTTCAGAATCGAAAACTCCACATTTGTGTTTGCTGGCTGCCAACGATAACAGGTGGAGCGCACAGCAAGAGCTCCAATTAAAATCAAAATCAACCTGCCTGCTTGTAATTGCTTCTTTGCTTCCACATTGTGTGTGTGTGTGTGTGTGTGTGTGTGTGTGTGTGTGTGTGTGTGTGTGTGTGTGTGTGTGTGTGTGTGTGTGTGTTGCTAAATTTAATGGGCTTGTTTCGTAAGACTTGTTCCTAATATTCTCTCTTATAATTTAGTTTGTTATAATTTCACGTTATATTTATGTGCAAAATCAGAAAGATTAAACCCTGCACTTTTCTGTGTGTGTGTGTGTGTGTGTGTGTGTGTGTGTGTGTGTGTGTGTGTGTGTGTGTGTGTCAGAGGGCAGCTATTTCTTGTGGTGATACCAGAGTATTTTGTGCTGCCGCAGAGATTAGTCTGAGTTCCAAGACCCCATCAATATCCATGACTCCCTATTGCTCACAAACACACACACACACACACACACACACACACACACACACACACACACACACACACACACACACACACAAAAAAACCACACACAGTGATGGAGTGAGCGGAACAGACCTGACGCTCTCACTCACTGGTAAATGGGTGCCCTGATGGACTGAGGCGATTCAGACACACTCACCCCAAAACACTTGCACTCAGCCGGTGATGGAGTGAGGCCATTCCCTCTCCTCACCTCGTGCCC